TACCACACCCGGCTAATTTTTGATTTATTGTAGAGATGAGGTCTCGCCAAGTTGCCCAGGCAGGTCTCAAATCCGCGGGCTCAGGCAATCCACTCAGCTTGGCCTCCCAAAGTGCTGGGATTACAGGCTGAGCCACCGAGCCCGGCCAGAATTACTATTAATTCTTCCTTAAATGTTTGGTAGAATTTACCAGTGAAGCCAGCTGAGTCTGGGCTTTTCTTTGTTGATAACAAAGGTTTTAATAACTAATTCAATCCCCATGCTACTTACAGATCTGTTCCAACTTTCTACTTCTTAATGATTTGGTCTTGGTAGGTGGTATGTTTTCTGGTATTTATCAAATTTTTCTAGGTTATATAGGTTGTTGATATATAAACTGTTCACAGTAGTCTCATGATCCTTTTTTTAAGGCATCAGTTGTAGTATCTCTTCTTTTGCTTCTAATTTTATTTGAATTTTCTCTTTTCTGTCTTAGTCTAGTTAAAGATTTGTCCAAATTTTGTTTATCATTTCACAAAACAACTCTTAGTTTTGTAGATTTTTTCTATTGTTTTCTATTTCATTTAGTTCTATTCTAATCTTTATTTCTTTTTTCTACTAACTTTGAGCCTAATGTGTTCTTCCTTTTTTCTTGTATTAGCTGCTTGAGGTGTAAAATCAGATTGCTGAGTTGTGATCTTTCTTCTTTTTTTAATGTAGACATTCATCACTATAAACTGCCCTCTTATTACTGCTTTTGCTGTATCCCATAAATTCTGGTATGTTGTGTTTTCATTTTCTTTTGTCTGGAGGTGTTTTTTAATGCCCTTTTTGATTTGTCCTCTGACATAATAAAAGTTCAAGAGTGTGTTGTTTAATGTCCACACATTTGTTAATTTTTCCCATTTCTTTTTTTTTTTAATTTTTATTTTCAACTCAGGGGTATGTACATATGCATATTCCTTTTACCTTATCACAGTCAGAAAAGAAACTTGATATGATTTCACTCATCTTAAATGTGTTAAGACTTCTTTTGTGACTTAACATGATCCATCCTGGAGAAAGATCCATGTACACTTGAGAAGAATGTGCATTCTGCTCCTGTCAAGTGAAATGTACCCTATATGTTAGGTCTATTTTGTCCATAGTATTATTTGTTTTTTTTTTTAGTTGGAGTCTCACTCTGTCGCCCAGACTGGAGTGCGATGGCCGCTCCCGGCCACCGCAGCCTCGACCTGCTGGGCTCCGGCGATCCTTCCGCCTCAGCCTTCCAAGTAGCCGGAATTACAGGCATGCGCTACCATGCCCAGCTGATTTTTTGATTTATGGTAGAGATGAGGTCTCACTGCCCAGGCAGGTCTCGAACCCGCGGGCTCAGGCAATCCACTCACCTCAGCCTCCCAAAGGCGCGGGATTACAGGCTGAGCCACTGAGCCCGGCTTTGTCCATAGTATTATTAAAATCCTCTGCTTTCTTTTTGATATTCTGTCCAGATGTTCTGTCCATTACTAAAAGTGGATCATTGAAGTCTCCTGCTATTATTGGTTTGTTGTTCATTTCTTTTTTCCATTCTGTCAATGCTTGCTTTATATAGTTAGGTGCTTTTATGTAGGATGCATATATATTTACAATTACTATATCACCCTGGTGGATTGACTCATTTATCATTATAAGACAACCTTCTTGTCTCTTTTGACAACTTTTGACTTAAAGTCTATTTTGTTTGATATAAGCATAGGCATTCTTGCTTTTGGGTGGGCATTTGCATGGACTAGTTTTTTCTGTTCTTTCACTTTCAGTCTATGTGTGTCTTTAAATCTTAAGTGAGTTTCTTGTAGATAGCATATAGTTAGGCTTGGTTTGGGGGTTTATTTTTATCCATTCAGTCATTCTATTTTTTTTATGAGAGAGTTTAGTCCATTTACGCTTAAAGTAAGTATTAATAGGGAACGGCTTACTATTTTGTTAGTTGTCTTCTGTTAATCTTGCAGTTCTTTTGTCTGTTTTTCATTCTTTTTCTGAGTGCCTTTGTGTTGTGTTGATGTTTTGCCTTGATTCTTTTTTTTTTTGAGTTGGAGTCTCACTGTCACCCAGACTGGAGTGCAGTGGCCGCTCCTGGCCACCGCAGCCTTGACCTGCTGGGCTCCGGCGATCCTTCCACCTCAGCCTTCCAAGTAGCTGGAACTACAGGTGCGTGCTACCACACCCAGCTAATTTTTTGATTTACTGTAGAGATGAAGTCTCGCCTGTGGGTCTCGAACCCGCGGGCTCAGGCAATCTACTCACCTCAGCCTCCCAAAGGCGCAGGATTACAGGCTGAGCCACCGAACCCAGCTGATTCTTTTTTTTCTTTGATTCTTTTCTCTTTTTCTTTTGCATGGCTTCTATGGTTATTTTTTTTTTCTTTGTGATCACCTTGGTGCTTACAAGAAATATCTTATAACTATTTATTTTGAGCTGATAAAAACTTATGTTCAATCACATACAAAATCTCTAGACTTTAACTTCTTCCCCATGATTTATTGTATATTGTTATAATTTATATCTATTCAAGTATATACCTTTTAATGTATTTTCAGTGACAGTTATTTTAATATTGGTCTGCTGATGATTTCCTGAAATTCCTTTAAGCTTTCTTCACTCTTTTCCATTATTTTTTTATTTTTGTTCCTCTAACTGAATTACTTCCAGTGACTTGTCTTCCAGGTCATTGATCCTTTATTCTGCTTGATCTAGTCTTCTGCTGAATCCTTCTAGTAAATTTTTCAGTTCAGTGGTTATGGTCTTTAGCTCCACAATTTCTGTCTGGCACATTTTAATATTTTCTATGTCTTTGTTGAAATACTCATTTTGTTCATGCATTACTCTTTTGATCTCAGTAAGCATCTTGATAAGAGTTATTTTTAATTATTTGTCAGGTGCATTATATAATTTTGTTTCATTAGGGTTGGTTTTGGGAGACTTGCCTTTGTTTGGAACATCTCTTATTGGTTCTTTCCTTGACTCTTTATGATGGTGTCTGAGTATTACACAAAGCAAGCACCTCTTCCAGTCTTCATAGACTGGCCTTGTATAGGAGGAGACTCCCACCAATCATTCCAGCCAGAGATTCTGGTGGCCTCTACCAACACTTTCTCTTCCCAGGAAAAAGCAGGGAGCTGTAGCTTTTTTTCCTGCTCACTCTGCATTAAGAAGCAGGGAAGGGAGGAAGTTATGGTGTCTACAAGCCCAAGCCACTGCCTCCATTCTCTCCTGGGTAGCCAGACTGTGCCAGACATGTCAAGAGATCCAGGACTGGAGAGATAGATGCTTTTCTTTGGGCAGCCCTACAGAAGCTGGGGCAGTGGTCACACTAATCAACGATTTCCCTCCTCAGGGGTTTGCTTAGAGATGATATTTTTTCATCTGCTCACTATGACATCTGCCAGCTCTGCCCACCGAAAAAAATCCTTGATTTGTGATGCCTTCTTTTCAGTGTGGAGAGGCTCTGGTTCTCCACAAGGTGCTCTCTGAATTATTCTGGTGGTCTGTTCTTCTCAGGAGGGGGCTGGGTCACTGTATCATATCCTTATCCAGTAACAAGAGGCAGTGAGCAAAATGAGAAAAGTTGAGGTAGATGTCAGTGTTGACTAGCCCCAGGTCCTGTCCCAAGCTGTCACTCACTGGCAAGGGAGTCCTGCACAGATGCTTCACTTTTCTGAACCTAAATTTCCTCACCTATAAAATGGCAGTGACATTGCCAACAGCTCACCGGAGCATGCCGATATTAAACGAAACAAAGCATTTAGCAGAGAGGTTCTGAGCACAACTTCTGTAGTCATCCTGGCTCAAATGCTGGCTCTGGAACTATTTTCCACCTGCCTGAGCCTTCCCTCCACACTGCTCTAGCATCCTCTTCTGCAGAACAAGGACAACACTGGTCCTTACCGAACAACACGATGGGGGAGTAAACAGACTCACATGTATACTCAGAACAGAGCCTGGTGAGCTGTCAGCCAGGCAGCAATGAGCCATGCAAGCTTGGCACCCAGGGACCTCAGATTTGAAGGGGTCCGCAAACCTCGGGTTATTTCCAATGAACATGCACTGGCTCCCAGGGACCCAGGATGTGGTGTTCTATACAAGGATGAGAGTTTTTCTCAGCCTTTTGTGTCTTCAGGTACCCAGCCAGCAGGGAGGCCCAACACCAACTCCCAGAGAAGCCAGCAAAGAACAGCAGAAAAGGAAAGTGCTCCAGGTTTCTCAAGCAGCACCTCCTACCTGAGTGGCATTTGTGTCAAGTGTTAATACCAAGGAGGCGACACCCAAGCATTCTAAGCACATCATGCTTCAACAGAAATCATTTTTTCAATGCACAATTTAATAAGGTAAGTACTTCTAAACGAAATACTTAAAATCAATTAAAAAGCTGGTTCATTCTGAGGGCTTAATTTCCTCACCTATAAAACGGGAACAACAATCCCTATCTCCTAGGGCTCTCATGAGATGAACAAAGTGAGGAAGAGGTGTACACATAGTCCAGACTCTGGCACCAACTAGCATATGCTCAGCCATTATTCTGACATGACAAATTCCCAGCCTCAAATGTCACTGCTCAAACCTAGTTTTAGGGACACAGCATCGGGTCTCTACAATTGACACAGAAAGTACAAGAGTGCTGAAATAAGAAATGGGAAAGATAACTGTGACATGCATCACCCAAGAAGCCAACAGCACCCTGCCTGTAGGATCTGCTTTCCTGCCAGGCAGCTGCCCACCTGAGCCTCCTGACCACACCTACCCTCTCCTCTCCTCACAACTGAAATGCTCTGTCTACACCTCACACTTCCGCCATCACCTCCCAATCTCTACCCATCACCTCCACACCAACCTCCACCATCACCTCCCCACATCTACACCTCTCCATTCCCTCCCCACCTCAGTCCATCATCCCCTCCCTGCTTCTGCCATCACCCTCCCATCTTCACTAGCACCACCACACCTCAGCTCCCAGGCCCACTGCTGGGGAGTGCCAGCCCTACCTCACGTTGTCATGCCTCTGGATGTAAATCTTGTGGAAAATCCTCTCGGGGGGCTTCAGGAAGTCCTCCTTCATCTCCATGGCAACATTCCGGGGCAGGAGGCTCATGAGAAGCCGCTCCTGGACAGGAGAGAAGGGCCCGCGTCAGACAGCAGGCCCCCCCACCCTGCTCTTCTTCACCTCACCCTCCCCACTGAGGTTGGCGGAGAGAAGCTGCCCTCAGTGGGGGCACTGCAGGCTCTTCTCCTCACGCATGGCTGGCACTCGTCCAATCCTGCAGAACCTGCCTGCCCCAGCCCCAGGCCCAGGCCTGGACTGTCACTGGCCATGTAACACACTTCAGGAGCACTAGTCATGCACTGGTATAGCCCCGCAAACACCCAGCCATGCCCATAGCACCCCTCACACCGCTGCCTGGGCCGAGCTGCCGAGTCTTGGCATGCCCACCCGGACACTCTGGGCTTCAGTGTGCAGCAGGATCACAGTTGGAAAAACACTGCTGCCTCCCACTGGGGAACCCCACCTGGCCTCTTTCTCACCCCCCACTGCTCCAACTACCTCAGAAAGAGTCTCCCAGGTTGGCTTACAAAAACATACTATCCTCTCAGGATACCCAGAGAGTTCCCCTGTTCTCACACAGACAAGCGGCCTAGAGGACCGCTTGAGAATGCCTAGAGGCATTCTTTCTTAGTCTTTGTCTCCTTATTTTTCCTTTATCTGTGTATGTCAAGCATTTTCTCTTTTCCTCCAAGAAAAAAAATAATAAATGTTTGGATTTTTCGATACAATTTGTGCCATCCTGGAGAATCCCTTCCTCTTCCTAGGTCTTGGCTTCCTTATCTGGACTGAGGGAATGAGTAGGACTTTCTCATCTTCCAGGTGGATATTCATTCCTGGGTCGACCCTGGCTGGCCCTTGACCCACTGGGCAAACATCTCTAGGTCTGAGAAACCAAGTCCCAGAAACATGGTGAGAGGGTTCTTTCAGGGCTGGAGTCCCACATGGATCACAGGCCCACTCTGGAGTTTGTAAGGACACATCCCTGACCTGGGAACGGCCCCATACCATGTGACTTTCTCAGAGGGAGCACAAGTATCCAGGTACCTTCATGCATAGGGACCATCTGGACAGCCACACAGATCCCCAAAGCCCAGCAGACCTCTGGGAAGTGGCCATGAGGGCTTTACCCCCTCTGCTCCATGTTACAAACAGGGCTTCATGGGCACAGTTCATTTTATGACAGGAGAATGAATTTGACACACTCGAGACATCTCCCCAGGTATTTTTCCATATAAACTTTGGGAGGCCAAGCCCAGTCCTGCCTGATACCAGGTGAGGCCAAGTTTACGCATGCCTATGAGGCTTGTCTGGGTACCGGCCCCGAAGTCTGTGGCCTGGTGGTATGTTCCAAGCAATGCCCAGGCTTATACTGAGAACTGACCCCACCAGGGGCCCCACCACAGTCCCTACTCAAGCCCTCACTATGCCCCTGGCAGCTCCCAGCTGGATGAACCCTGATGCAGAGGGGAAATGCTGCAAGAGGCTCAGCTGCCTGTGACCACTCTCCACCTGATGCCACAGGGAGAAGGCACAGGAGTATCCAGTCAGTGCTGTGTGGGGACAGCCTTGGGGACAGAAAGGCTCCCCTGCACAGGGCACAGGAATACATCTCAGACCTGGCCAAGAGGCTGTGAGGTTCTTCTTAAATAGATGGGGTCTCTTGGGACAAGACCTGAGATGCAGCCCACAACAAAGGAGCCGTCTGTAGGCAGCCAGCAGTACTGGGGCGGCGGGAACTTGAGCTGGATGCTGGCTCAGGCTACACATCACAAACCAGGAGCAATGTCAGCAATGTGGGCACCTCGGGAAGCTTCCAGAAACTATCACTGCCTGAGGCACAAAGGCACCAGCCAGGTGGGAAGACACAAGCAGTTGTACAAACATGGAGGGTTAGCTGGGAAAGAACCCTAAACAAGGTGCAGGCTCCACATGCTCTCCCAGGCAGCCCCAAAGCCATCAGGCTGATAAACCAGGTGCCAGGATTCAGGAGGCAGCAAGCAGCACTTGGGTTGGCACCAGGGCAGGGCCCGACAGACCCCTGCACAAGGGTAAGGAGAGCCTCAGTGTCTAGTAGTCAGCTGCCTGACCCAAAACCCTGGGTCTGCCACTTAGCTGTTAGGCAAGCTGTCTTAGTGTCATCACATCTGACAGGTGATGATATAGCTGGAGAGCAAACAGTACTCATAGATCAGGCCCCTGCCCTCACACTAAGCCTCAGTGGTCACTACGGCCATCCTTCCTGCCTGGCACCACCAACCCCATCACTCCAGCATCTGCTTGCCGCTTCTCATATCCTTTAAGTATCTGACCTGCACCTATAAAAATGCTAAAATCCTCCCAAAGCCAAATCAGACAAGACTGTCCTTCACTCAGTGCCGTCTCCCACCTTCCTTTAGAGTTAATATTCTCAAATAACCCCTCCCTCACTGGCCCCGAAACCACTGTGACCATAGGCTCTGAGCCTGAGGGAAGGCCTCGACTGTCCTGCACCATTTGGAATTGGGACAGGAAAAGTGAGTCAGTCACAGATCAGCAGACTGAACCAGTGAGGCCAAAGGAACTGAAAGAAAACACAGGACACTGAGCTCCAGGAACCTCAAAGAAGTGACAAGGAGCATCCAGGGCCACAGAGACTAATCCCAGAGGAAAGGATGGAAAGGCTGCTGGGAAGCCCCCTGGCACATGCCTTCCACCCTCTGAACATGGCCCCCAGCATGGAAGACTGGAGCACTTCATGTGAACTGCTAAGCCGTGGCTTAAGTTGCTATGAGAACTGGCTGTAGCAGTCACCTGGCCGTCAGCTAGCTGTCTCCAGTATTCCTGCCCCACTGCTAGCACAAGAGAGCCCCTTATTTTCATTAGGGTTCTTGGCTACCCAGAATAAAGACCCATTTTCCAGTCCCCAAGGAGCTATAAGATGAAAAATCATGTGGAAGCTTCTGAAATATTCTTGCAAGGCAGCTTGTTCTTCTTTGCTTCCTCCCCTGCTGTTGCTGGGAATGTAGTCATAATAGCTGGATCTCTACCTACCATCTTGGTTCACAAGGATGAAGGCCACACACTAGGGACACAGGTGGTAAGCTAGATGGAGACTGGGATGCTAGAGTTTCATGGATCAGCCCTGCCACATCACCATAAAGTGCGCACCCTGGAATGTGTGTATGAGAGAAAAAGAGCAATCCCACTTATATAAGCCACTGTCACAAAAAGATCAGCCTGGATTTCCTTTTTTGTTGTTGTTAACTTTTAATTTTTTTTTTTATTTTAAAGATGTGGAGTACAATTCAGGGTTAAGTATACAAATGTTCATTATGCGGGTACCCTTGTTGATGAGGTGTTCCCCACCTTCACCAGGCAGATTCCCACTATTGCCAATCCCACCTCCCACCCCCCCACTCCTGCATCCCCACAGTTTCCTGCTACTGCCAATCCTTTTCTTATAGTATTACGATAGTTTTTTGAGGTCCACTTATGAGTGAAAACATGTGATACTCAGTTTCTTGTTTCTGTGACAGATCACTCATTATTATAGACTCTAAGTCCATCCAGGTTGCTGTGAAGTTCATGATTTTGTTCTTCTTTTTGGTTGTGCAATATTCCATCATATAAGTGTACCACACTTTTTAATTCAGTCCTCTTTTGATGAACAGCATGGTTGGTTCCATGTTCTTGCTATTGCGAACAATGGACAGCCTGGATTTCCAACCAAGGGCTCAGCATTAGCTCCAACCATTAGATTAGCAATAGCACCTAAAGCCAATACACATTAGTAACCAAAGACTAAAGTTATATAACCTTTCCCAGAAGGAGCAAAACAGCCATCTGATAAGATTGAGCACTCATTTCTGATCACAAACAAGAAAAACCTAAGACTAAGCAGCTCATTTGCATTATTAAAATACTGCCTGAAATTCATATCTAATCTCAAACCTAACCCCAATGCCCCAAGCAGCAATAAACATTAACATCAGGAACAGACAATAGTATCAATAAGTTCTAACCAACAAAATAAGTTAAAAGGCCAGAAATCAAAGTCATGAAAAGTATTATAAACATGGATCACACAAAGTATCCCAGTGCCCTATGAAGGCTATATAAAAACCTTTATAATTTATCTTGACTATCAAAATGTGACAAAATAAATGCACTATTCTTAATAAAAATTAAATATTTAAAAGACAAATGTGAGGACTGCTTTTGGGAAGAATAGAGAAGTACTTTTCCCTATTCCTCCCTATTCCTCCCTGAAAGTCCTGGATGTTACACCTCAAACAAACATCACAAGAATGAAAGGCAGAAGGCAGAGATCTCAAGACCAAGGAACAACATGAAGGTGAGTTTCTGGGCTTTCTTTTCACCTCATAACTCTCAGAATAAGTGCTGGAGAAGTGGGCAGCTCAGAAATGGCAGCAGGTACAAACCAAAAGAATGACCCAACAAAAGTGGCTCTCTCTATCCAAAGGACCAGGACAGGGAAGCCTCACAAGAAGAACACTTGCAGACAATAACTAATTGCCCTACTTCAGGCTAAAGACACAGAAAACTCTATACTCCAAACCTATCCACACCAGCAAACTCCAGGTAGAGAGGCCATAGCTCTACCGTCCTTGGGCTGTGAAGGAGCTCCCAACTAACCCACACACCCCCAAAGGAAGCCAGGTCTTTCATCTCCACCTGGTGATAATGAGCATCCTTGTCCTCTGCAGGTTCACAGGGATCAAGGGGTCCTCTTGCTCTTATCCCCGGCCAGGTGTCCATGGGGAGCTGGGACTCCCACTACTACCCAAGCAGTAAGAAAACCTCTCCCAGTGGGTGTCAACAGAGGCCCAGTGTAGCACCTGGACTTCTACCTCCTCCTGGCAGCAAAGTGACAGCAGCCCCCTTCCCCTGACAGAATACAGTCATAGAAAACAATCTAAAACAAAAGGCCCAAATAAAGCACAGTCTCACACCTAACATTCAAAATGTCTAGGTTCCAGTGGACAGACCATAACTCATACCAAGAACTAGAATAAGCTCAAAGAATGAACAAAGACAGCCAACACCAAGAAGACAGGGAT